CCCCACCCCCACCCCGTCGCGCCCCAACCCCCACCCCAGCTCACCTGCCGCCTGCGTCTCCATGGCAACGCCCCCTCGGCGGAGGGGGGGGTGAAAAAAAAAAGCCTCGGGCTCCTCCTGGGCTCCCTCCCGCGCCAAGCGAGAAGGCCGGGCACCCTGAGGAAACTTGGCTCTTGATTTTTTTAATTTTTTTAGGGAAAGAGCCCGAGAGGTTATGGCGAATCTGCGGCATCCAACATGGCGGATGGAGTCTTCGACCTCCTCCCCACGGGGGATCCGACGCCTGCGTAGCGACGTCCGCCGCGGGGATCCGCCCCCCGGCTCCCAAGACACACTGCGCATGCTCGAGGCTAGCTTTCCCCCCCACCACCACCACTCCCCCTCCCCTCCCCATTTGGTCCCGGCATGCCGCGCGCTGTTTTGAGCCACGCCCGGGAAGGGACGCTCTGATCCCGGAACGTGGGTGCGGGGATTGGGAGCGTCCTGAGTCCGTCTCCGCTGGGGGGACGGCTGCGCGGGATGAACTGGCAGGCTGCTTAGTGCACTCTTTTGCGCACTAACTTCCCCTGGGCTCAGGTTCCTAAACTTGCCCATCGGGCTGCTTGGCAGCAGCGTGTAGCGGTGATGCCGTCCCCGGGACGCCCTGCCGAGGTGTGGTTGGCACCGGTTGTCGGGGCGTGCAGCCCCACGTGAGGATGCGGCGCCCCTCCAGTTCTCGAGCAGAGCCCGGTTGGGTGTGAGCGTGCCTTGCACATCATTTCCCTGGAAGCGCAGTGAACCAAACCACCTTTCGGTTTTTCCTATTGGGAGGTTACAGCCCCCTCGGAACCCTGTAGAAGTGTCTGTCCCAAGTAACTTTAGTAGAATCGGTTCCTGCTAACGTTCAAGTCGCTCGTCTCTGTCTTGGTCACCCCGTTAGCATTCGAAACTGGGAATGAGTTTAAATGGGCGAATAAACATGTATATAATAGTAACAAGCGCATTTGTACTAATAAAGCTGGCTTTTTAAAATAAGAGTTTCTTTTTAATTAACCATTGTAAAGAAAACGCCACACATGCAGAAACAAAACAAAAATATTAATTTAAAAAAAAAAGGCGCAAAGCTACACAGAGAAACCCTGTCTCGAAAAACCAAAAAAAAAAAATCAGAACGGAAATGATCGGAGTCTGAGGAACACTGATTTGTTATTACAGCGCCCCTGAAATACTGTTTTTCGGGAATAACCCATGCGTTCTGTTGAACCTGAAATATTCATCAGACAGCCCTAGGCTCCTGCCTCTACCCACAGAGGTCAGGGTCATGTGTTCCTTACTCCCTCCCCACATCCAGGTTCATCTACCTGTTTGCACAGCCCTCTCTGCCATGGACTGAGTTTGCTGAGCAGAGAAAAGTCATGTAGCAAAGGCCCCTGGGTCTTTCAAATCTTTATCTTTCCACCGTAGGTTGCATAGTAATACTACTGAATGGACTCATTCATTTTGGTCATCACTTTTTTTTTTTTCTTTTTTTTAGCCATTGAAGTGCCTTTGGGCAGTGAGCCTTTAGCATGATGACTGGTCGAATGCTCTGTTCTTTCTTCAATTAAGCACTGTTCCAAAACATCCCTCTCCTTTATTTCAAAGGACAGGTGAGAGAAGGACAGGTGTTCAGGAGGGTTGTATAGCTTTCTGAGATCACACAGCCAGCCTGTGGCGTGTGTGGACCCACCTCTCCACGCCCCTTGCCTTTCCCACTTGACCACATGGCCTTCCAGACTGTACCCAATAGGTGCATTGTGAGGAGAACCATGAAGTTGTTGCCTCACGCCCCACCCTCCACCACCACTAAATTCTGCATCTCAGGTGGCTGGGAGGTTGGGGGGGGGGGCACGACAATGACATTTTTTATTTGAAAATAAACTGTCCAGAGGCTGCATTGGTGTGCTTTCCTTCTTAGAGCTACAAATATTTACAATCACTCCTGTCAGGAATCAATTTCTGTCAGGAAATGAGAGTTGTTCTGGTTGCTGACGATATTGGTTTTCTGCTGGGCTGCCTTTCTTAAAGCAGCATGGAAATGTTATTTATTGATTAATAGGTGGTTCGATTGCTCCTGAATGTTGTGACCAAAACAAGTTTGGAAATGAAGCAATTTAAAATATATCTCAAAACTCAATTGCTTCAGAAGATTAAAGCCAAATTTAAAAAGGAAACTGGACTGTAGATGGTAGTCTTCGGGGTTGTGGGGGTAGCTATGACTTTCTCCATTATTCCTTCCTTAAATCTATTCATCATTCAGAAAAGACTTACTGGACATCTGTTCCTCAGAACTGGGTTGGCCCCAGGCAGCTAGAAATTAATAAGGGAAGGTAGAGAACCCAGTTTTGTGAGTGGAGACATGAGTGCACATTTGGCTTCTAGCCTTCCTGGGTGATTTACACACTTCATGTGGGGTGGGGGGTCCATAAGTGTGTACACTGAAGCCAGAGGCTGGCTTTAGGTCTCTTCCTCTATTACTGACTACCTCATTTTTTGAGAGTCTTGATGAACCTAAAGCTCGTTTGGCCAGACTGGCTGGCCAGTGAACCCCTAGGATCCCCCTGACTCTCTCTACACTAAGATTACAAGCCCATCACACCTAGCTTTATATGTAGGTGCTGAGGATCCACACTCAGGGCCTCATGCTTACGCAGCAAGCCACTGAGCCTTCTCCTCAGCCCTGACTGACATTTCAGTCTTTGCATTTACAGATGCCTTCAATTAGTAGAGAAACATCAGTGGAATTAAATGTTAATCACTGAGAATTTCATAATGAATAGTGTCCTGCTCCAATGGTTCCTAGAGGAGATCAGTCCCAGCCTGCCCACTGATGTGGCATTCCACCTTACAGGGTAGCTCAGGAAGGAATTTGTGTCACATCTATGGATATGAGATGGTATTTAGCTACATGAGAAATGGAGTTGACTTGCATAATTAATATATTTGTGTCAGTTTAATAACTATATCAGTAGCTGGCAAATGCATTTGAATGAAAACATAGTTTAGGCACTTAATTTTATAAGGTGCTGATTGAAAGTTTTGATGAAGGATACATAGGACCTTAACATATGGGTTTTGAGACATACAACTATTAAAAGCCAAGGAAAGAAAGAACAGTTTTAGTTAACATGTTAAAAACCTAAATAAGGGTATTGTTGAAATGCATTTAAAATTATATAAAAGGGACTGAGGCTTAGCTTGATGTGTGCAAGCCTCTGGGTTGGTTGCCCAGTACCACCGAGACAGTCACACCAGAACAGGATGAGCCATTAGTATCAACATGATTGTGACCTTAGAAAGCAGTAAGGGCCACCGAGTGCCATTTCCTCATATCTCCACGTCTCATCCCTAGATGTTAATCTAATTTTCTTTATAGGCCATAGTCAGAGCCCAGTCAAAGAAGCTGATTCCAATATGGGCAAGAAAGGAAAGTCAGGATGGCCTGGAAGTTCTGTCATCCTCCAAAAATAGGATGCTGTGAAAATTCCGAGCCTGCAGCAAAGACAAAGGAGCCAGCTGAAAAAGAAATAGGACCCTCTTTGAGGTGCTGATTTGCATGTTACAAGTACAACTGCAATCAGTAGTTGTTGCCTTTTTTTTTTCTTTTCTTTTTTTTCAAGACAGGGTTTCTCTGTGTAGCTTTGGTGCCTGTCCTGGATCTCGCTCTGTAGACCAGGCTGGCCTCGAACTCACGGAGATCCGTCTGGCTCTGCCTCCCGAGTGCTGGGATTAAAAGGCGTGCACCACCACTGCCCGGCAGTTGTTGGTCTTTTAAGTACAAGATGTCTCTGGAAAGCTATGAGTTCTTGAAAATTGGAGGGGGGCTCGTGTGCCCACATGTGTACATGTGAAGGCTAGAGGTTGATGTGGAGTGTCTTCCCCTATCACTCACCCTCCACCGTATTTTTTGAGACAGGGTCTCACTGAACCTGAAGCTTGCCCTTGAAGCTATGCCAGCTGGGCAGTGAGCCTCAATGTTCCTTCTGTCATCCACCTCATTCCACCTCTCAGGGCTGAGTGTCAACACAGGCTGTTGAGCCTAACTTGTCCGTTAGGGCTGGGGAATCTTAACTCAGGTCCTCCAGCTTGTACATCCGGTTGTTTACTCAGTGAGCCATCTTGATGATAGGGCTGATGGTGTAGGTGCCCTGGTAGATTACATGCTTACCATGAATAACGTCCTAGAGTTGATCCCCAGCGCGCGCACACATGTACACACACACACACACACACACACACACACACACACACACAAGTCCTATAGACAAAAACTGCACTTGCTGCTTTAATTACTAAGCTAATCATATGTAACAGATAGAAATTAGATGTTTTAGCCAAGAGGTAAGTTTGGTATATGTAAGGTTTAATGCTTGAAGTTCTGTGTGTCCCTCTACAAAATGGTACATGTAGTTATGATTATTATTAAGAGATTTCCAGAAAATCTTGGAACTGGGAAAACAAAGTATGCAGGTTGGGGCCATACATAACCAAGTGGGAAAGGTTTGGAAATTTGTGTTACAGGTTTGGAAATTTGTGTTACAAGTGAATGGGTTAGAAGAATAGCTGAGAGATCAAATCATATGCCCCAAATGTAATGTGCATAAATGTGGGTGGTGCAAGAGATTTGAGTGTTGTAGTACCTTTGCAGCCCTTTTGTGCATGTCCCAGGAACCTAAAATGCTGGGCACTCACAGACATCAAAGACTGACCTTGGACAGTGACTCCAAGTTCGTTGCTAAGGAAGATTAATGATGCTGACTCTTGTGGGAGTCTGGAAAGTAGAATGAGCAATTAAGGAAAGTGAGAGACCCTCCAAAAATGGGAAGGGTGTTCAATATTGGGAAAAAAAGCTGTTGGATGTACTTTGTCTAGGGTTATTTGTGTTTTTGTTTTAACATTCATTTACTTGGAGGAGGGCTGGACTGAGCCTGTATGTGGAGGATAGTAGACCACTTGAGGAAGTTTTCTCCTCCTACGATGTGGGTTCTGGGACTCAAATGTCAGATCATTAGGTTCAGCAGCAAGCACCTTCAACCACTGAGGCATCCCACCAGCCTTGGCTAGGTGTTTTATAGCACAATAGCAAAAACTGCACAAAGACTGAGGAATTCTCAGAGTGGTTAATTCTCCAAGCTATAATGGACTACACCAAGGGAGGTCCCATATGCTCTGTATATGTCCCCTTGACCCAACCAGGCAGTTGATCACACACTGCTCACCAGTTAGGAGTGGCTGGAGCCCTTCTCTGTCGGTCTCTG